AATGCCTGCAGTGTTTATCCTGGACCCTATTTTGAAATTGAAATATTTTGAACTTTGTGTTAAATTGGCCAAATCACCAATTTCCTATCACTTTACTGGGTAGTTGAAACAGTTGACTACATGATTTCTTGTGCTCAATCAATAAAACAGGAGTAATACTAGTCAAATAGCTTAGAATTTGGTTGACTGGAATAATGTAATTGGCTTAAATGGAAGTCAAAGTTGGCAAAATCACAGATGTGTTAATATTGCTGATGCAGCAAAATTTGCAACTGCCTAATTTTGTCAATTTTCCATCAAATTTTATACTTTTTGTTTTATTACCTTCAGAAAAAGATTCTCTACTATTTCATAAGAAAAATAACAAAAATTTTTTTTTAAAATTCTTAGACCCTGGCTGTTACACTGAGATTTAGCCTCTGGACCCTCAAAGAGTTAAAATAGGAACTTTGAGATGTTGTCTAGGATAGTTATTGACTGTTTCTTGGTATAAATTGGTAGAATGAAAGACATGCTAGTGAAATAAATATGATTCCGGTTTGTTTCAGGACTAAAAGTAGCCTAACCCCTTGACTGTCGCAACCCCAAATCCTGAGATGTCTCCTGGTGTTGCAAAATTTCTGAAAAAAATTATTTTTTTCTTATGAAATGATAGAGAATCTTTTCCCAGTTGTAATGACACCAAAAGAACGAAATTTGATGGAAAACTGATGGAATTACGCTCTCGCGAAGTTAGCGACCTCGGTGATATTTACAAATCGGCAATTTCGCCCACTTTAAGCCCTATTTTCGGCTAATTCCTTTGTTCCAGTCAACCAAACTCGTAGCTATTTCTTTAGAACTCCATTTTTTCTATCGATTGAATACAAGAAACTGCCCATTTACCGATTTCAACTACCCAATAACGTGGTCAGAAATATGCAATTTGGCCAGTTTCATGAAAATTAAAAAATATGACAGTTTCAAAATAGGGTCCAGAATGAACAATGCAGACATTCCTGGCTCTAAAATAACATTTTCTTTGTTCATCAGTCACATCTCCAGGCCCCTCTGATACTACTCTTGGTTTCTATTTTGAATTTTTATTCAAACAAAAAATAGAAGATTTCCTGTTATGCAGACTACTGCAATATTGCAATAATTGTATAAATAATGTCAACCCATTCATGACTGCATATTAGAATGGCTACTTGGATATTTATTGGAAAGTGACATCATTTGTTTACTTTTGAACATTGGCAAAAATCAAACATTTCCCCTACTTTGAGCTCTATTTCAAGGTTCTTTTCATAGTAAAACCAATCAAAATCACCTCTATTTCTATAATATGTTTCCCATTCTATCAAATGAAACCAAGAAAATGAGAATACAACCATAAATACTGTAAGAAAATAAACCACAAAGTCGGCATTTTAATTAAAAAAAATGGTCGGAGTTTTTTTTTTTCTCATTATGCACTGAGTGCTGCAGGATTTTTATATATGATGTACACTGACCACACAGACCCATTCTCTCACATGTGGGCCTACCAGCTTTCTCCTGCTTGATTTGAAGCCGCTAGAATTTATGAGTATACATTTATATATCAAACACGGTGGCTCATAAGACGTATACGTATATACATACGACCGAAACAGTCAAAGGGTTAATATATTTTTTTGGGGGCAATTTTTCCTGAGGATTGCCCCAGTTGGTTTTATAGGTTTTTCTAGGTCTGCTTTAACCCTCTGACTGTTTATGTCGTATATATACGTCTTACACGCCACTGTTTCTGACGTATTTATACGCGTAAATTCTAGCGGCTTCAAATCAAGCAGGAGAAAGCTGGTAGGCCCACATGTGAGACAATGGGTCTGTGTGGTCAGTGTGCACCACATTAAAAAAATCCTGCAGCATGCAGTGCATAATGAGGAAAAAAAAAAATGACCGTTTTTTTGGATTAAAACACCAACTCTGAGGTGTATTTTCGTATAGTATTTATCGTTGTACTCTCGTTTTCATGATCTCAGGTAATAAAATGGAAAACATATTACAGAAATAGAGATGATTTTCATTACTTTCACAATGAAAACGACCTAGAAATTGAGCTCAAAGTAGCGGAAATGTTCGATTTTTACCAATGTTCAGGAGTAAGCAAATTACACCACACATCCGATACACATCAACTGGGGAGTCTAATATTCTTTCACTAGTGCACTTATATTATTTATACCATTTTTACAATAATGCAGTAGTGTGCATAACAGTAAATTTTGTATTTTTTTGTATGAATAAAAAATCAAAATAGAAAGCAATAGTAATATAAGAGGAGCCTAGAGACGTGACTAATGAACAGAGGATATGTTATTTTAGTGCCAAGAATGTCTACATTGTTTATTCTGGACCCTATTTTGAAATTGGCGTCTTTTTTAATTTGCGTGAAATTAGCCAAATTGCCAAATTCTGACCACTTTTTTGGGTAGTTCAAATCAGTAAATGGGCAGTTTCTTGTACTCAACTGATAGAAAAAATGGAGTTCTAAAGAAATAACTATGAGTTTGGTCAACTGGAACAACGGAATTAGCCAAAAACAGGGCTCAAAGTCGGCAAAATTGCCGATGCGTATGTCGCCGAGACCGCTAACTTTGCGGGAGTGTAATTCCGTGAGTTTTCGACCAAATTTCGAACTTTTGGTGTCATTACCATCGGAAAAAGATTCTCTATCATTCCGTAAGAAAAAATAATTTTTTTTTCCAAAACTTTTGCGACATAGAATGACAGCTTCAGAAAAGGGCTTGCGACAGTCAAAGGGTTAATTTAATATTAGGAAGGCCTAAACCATGACCAATCATTCTAATCATTCTTGATTATATTTTATTATCCAAGAAATAGAGTAAAACTTAGATTATGTGATGAAGAATTGAGACATGCAGCATGTGGGAATCTTTATTGAAGAAACGTTTCGCCACACAATGGCTTCATCAGTCTAATACAGAGCAGGAAGGTATAAGGAGAGGAGGAGTTTGAGGTAATCAGTCCCTCAGCCTAGGATCAATGTGTTCAGTCCATCACTCTTGTAGGAAGTACAGCAGAAGGCCAGAGAGGTGGCATATATACTGCAGTCATGTGAGTCAAAGCAGGAGGAGGGGGGATCACAGTGTGACCTTCCACTAGTGTAAGTAGGTCTTCCTGCTCTGTATTGGAGTGATGAAGCCAGTATGTGGCAAAACGTTTCTTCAATAAAGATTCCCACGTGTTGCATAAGTGTCTCAATTCTTCAGCTTGTCAGTTTTCAAAACCATTCATCACATCTGTCAGACACTGCAACATCATGGGATCTTGATACAAAGAATTCTTCAATGCTTGTCCAACCTTTGGACAAAAGACCTACTTACACTAGTGGATGGTCCCACTGTGATCCCGCCTCCTCCTGCTTCGACTCGCCTGACTGCAGTATATAAGCCACCTCTCTGGCCCTATGCTGTACTTCCTACAAGAGTGATGGACTAAACACATCGATTCCAGGCTGAGGGACTGATTACCTCAAGCTCCTCCTCTACTTATACCTTCCTGCTCTGTACTGGACTGATGAAGCCACTGTATGGCGAAACGTTTCTTCAGTAAAGATTCCCTTATGTTGCATAAGTGTCTCAATTCTTCAACTTATCAATTTTCAAAACCATTCATTACAGATTATATGATGATGGATTCAAAATGGACAACAAGTGTAAGTGTTATACAGGAGAGGCTTGGGGACATGATTAATTAACAGAGAATAGGTTACTGTAGTGACTGAAATGCCTATAGTGTTCATTTCAGACTGTTTTTAAACTGGAATTTTCTAAATTTTATGTAAAATTGGCAAAATTACAGACTTCCGTGCACTAAAATTTATAGGGCAGTTCTTATAGTTAAATGGGCAGCCTCTTGTGCTCAGTTGATAGAACAGTAGGAATACTAACAAAATACCTAGGAATTTGGTTGAACTTAACTATGAAATCAACAAAATCACCAATGCTTAAATTGTGCCCAGACTGCCATCTTTGTGTCTGCATAATTCTGTAAATTTTCCATCAAATTTTGCATTTTTGGTGACATTACCCTCAGAAATGACTGTACCATTTCAGAAGAATTTTTTTTTTTAAACTGCAATACTATTAGCACTTCTGATTTCAGGGGTCATGACAGTAAAAGGGTTAATGTTTAAGGCTGAATTTTAATTATGGCAGACTACCCTTCACCCCAACAACTTCATAATAGAGACTTGACTGACTACCACATACACACATTATTATAGCCAGACATTTTTATATTAGTCAAATTTTGGAGGTCTGACTTCTATATATTAAAAAAAAGATTTATGAAGAGGGTAAGGTTCTGACCATTTATGATATATGAAACCCTATAGCAGTGTACACAGGATGATGTAGCCATTTCATTAAAATCTGTATATAAATACTATATAGCCAATTACAGTGGTCTCTTGAGTTATAATTGACTCTCATAAAGGTGCCTGCCTGCTCTGGCCTGTCCTGCCCTGCCTGCTCTGGCCTGTCCTGCCCTGCCTGCTCTGGCCTGTCCTGCCCTGTCTGCAATGCCTGTCTGCCCTGGCCTCCCTGTCTTAACCCTTAAATTGTATCTAATGTATCTATTGTATCTAATGCTGTCTGTGTCTGATGTACTAATACACAATTTTTTGTACCTTCCAATCTGCCACCTGCCAATAATTTTGACCTCAGTACAACTCTTTGGGTCTTCTTCAATCTATTCATATATTTCATACATTATACATCACCTGAGTAGTTAATCATGTCACACTGTGTGGACTCTCCTGGATTTTTATTTTTATCAAATGTATGAACAGATCGAAGAAAACTCAAAGAATTGTGCCGAGGTCAAAAATATTGGCAGGTGGAAGAGTTGAAGGCAAAAAGAACTGCACGTGCTAGTACATCAGATACACAGTAGTCAGCTGCATACTAGTATAGTTTAAATGTTAAAAGGCTAAATATGAAGCTTACCTTGGTATCAAGTGGTGGAGACTTAAAGTCTGGAGGTATCTGAGTCAACATTGGAATATATACTTCCATTTCTTGACCTTCAATGTCAGACTGTCCATCTGACTGCCCAATGTTCATGCCATGTGCACTTCTCTTGCCATTTATATGACCATTACCATTACATGATAACACCCGTGGTTGGGACGGCACGTTACGGAATTTGATCAGATAAATAACAAAGAGTATGATCAGCAACAGAAATACAAATGCCACTGAGCCACAGATGAAGTCTGCAAAGACAAAAAATAAAATAATGTAGTTACAATAATATTATGAATATAGTGCAAACTGCCTTTGCCAAAACATGATTAATTTATTACCTCTGTATTGTATACAGAAACTGAAATTTTAAATGTTAAATATTAGATGTATCCTACATATTAACCCTTTCAGGGTCCGTCCCGTAGATCTACGGCTTTACGTTCAGGGTACAAACCGTAGATCTACGCCAAAATTCTAGCGCCATCAAATTTAGCATGAGAAGACTGGTAGGACTACATCTAAGAGAATGAGTCTGGGTGGTCAGTGTGCACACCATAGAAAAAATCTGGACGCCCGCATGGCATTGTGGGAATGCCTGCAAAGTAGCTTGTTCATAGTGCCTGGCGGCAAGGAAGCTCTCACTCCCCACTCACTCTCCAGGCGAATTCTGACTCTCCTCTTCACAACTTACAGCTCTAAGACTGATGGAAGTGGAGCTGAAGACGAATTCTATGGTTTTGAACCATATGGTACCATTGTGCCATATGGTACAATGGTACCATATGGTACAATGGTACCATGTCATACAATGGTATATGGTACAATGGTATCATGGTACAATGGTATCATATGGTACTATATGGTACAATGTACCATATAGTACATTGTACCATATGGTACATTATACCATATGGTACATTATACCGTATGGTACAGGGTACAGGGACCCTAATGGAAATAAGTCTGTCTGACTTTTTTGGGTTATCCTAGGTTCTCCAAACATATGCTGCTAAGTATGATATTCTATGTAACTTTATTTGTGTATAACTAAATAAACTTACTTATGATGCCACATGCACTTGAGTAAGTTTATTCAGGTGTACAGAAATACAATCACATAAATTATCATACATAGCAGCATAAGTATAAAATCCTAGGATAACCCAAAAAAGTCAGGGTGACTTATTTCCATAGTTATCCCTGTATCTGTACCATATGGTGTCCTGTACTGTATGGTACTCTGTACCATATGGTACTCTGTACCATATGGTACTCTGTACCATATGGTACCCTGTACCATATGGTACCCTGTACCATATGGTAACCTGTACCATATGGTAACCTGTACCATATGTTATCCTGTACTGCATGGTACCCTATACCATATAGTACAATGTACCATATGGTACCCTGTAACATATGATACCGTGTACCATATGGTCAATAGGTGTTGGTGGCATTAGACACCAGCCAAGACTGAGCGAGTGGTGACACAAGCTAGCTACTGACTCTCCAGTTTCCGAGACAAAGTGCTTTGTCATCCACCTCAGGGAACACGTCAGGTTCCTGTACACTTGTAAATATATATAGTATATAGTATATATAGTATATAGTATATATAGTATTAAGTGCCCTTAATACATATATACGTGTGGTGCATATAGTGTACGTTACTATTATATTGTACATTATTATTTTTATTATTTTTCATCACTAGCTAATGAAATACCTCCAATACTCTATACTTCTTTCTTACTGCTATTAATTGCTCATAATTTTAAATTACAAGTCAAATCTTACTCCAAATTAATAATATTCATTATTCTTACCTGTCCATTTAATTTTGTTTATCACTACTTGTTTTTTTAGTCACTTTTCATTGTGTATGCAATTAGTGTATATTCCAATTACTTTTTTCCAAGTACCAAAACTATCTTTTGCTAGCTAGTACAACTACCTCATTTTTTTTACTTTTATTGTGCAATAAACTGCTCAATTTATTTAATATTACAAATCAGATCTTACTCCTAAACCAATATTATTTCATAGTGACCACCTGTCCATTTAACTTTGTTTACCTTACTTAATTTTAGTCCCTTATATATTTTCTCTTTATTTTAGCTTTATATAACTACCCTAGTTTATACATTCACAATTGTTAAAATAATCAAGGTGCTATTCTCAGGTGCTAAAGTAGAATAAGTTCACAATTTTGCCATTATATTCCAAAGCTCATTTATTTGATTACCACTTTATTGTTCACCACAACTTACATTAGTCCCTTTTATATTATTATTTTATACTATAATTCTAACTTTAAAGAATTACCTTTATAGTACTACCTACTATCATATTCCCAAGCTCCATTATTTGATTATCACTTTATTTGTATTAGTCCCTTTTATATTGTCTCCTTTATTTTAGCTTAAAAAAAAAAAAAAAAAAAAAAAAAAAAAAAAAAAAAAAAAAAAAAAAAAAATACTACTTAGCTCATTATTTTACATTTGTTAAATAATTCAGGTGCTATTTTTTAGCTTAAGACTATTTACTTTGTTTTATACTTAATTCTAACTATAGATTCACTACAAATCTTATGATTACAAGCATTGATCCTGATACCAACCTCTTATTTAATGACTTAAATGAATCAAACAGTTACTGTAATTACTACACTGCAGAACAATCAAAGGCACTTCTCAGTGCTAACAACAACATAACTATCTTTAACTACAATATCAGATCTTTAAGCAAGCATTACGATGACCTCATAGCATTACTAAATTCCTTACATGCCAATATGTCCATCGTTACACTAACTGAAACCTGGCTAAAGCCTGATAGTACAGATGTCTATGCCATTCCTGGTTACACAGCCATACACAACTGTAGGCCAGACCAACAAGGGGGTGGCACAGCCATATACTACTCAGACCAACTAGAATGTATCACTAATACTTGCACAAGGGATGAACATGGGGAATATATAATAGCCAAATTCAAATCCAAATACCTACAAAAACCTCTCACATTGATAAACATTTACAGAGTTCCACAGTCAAACATTAGCCAATTTAGTCAAAACCTAGGAAGTATGATAACTGATGCACGCATGAACAAAGATCACTTACTACTCTCAGGTGACTTCAATATAAATCTCCTGCAAGACCAGGACCCACACGTTACTGAATTCACAAACACAATGAGTAACTGTATGTTGCTACCAACAGTAACAAAACCTACAAGAGTTACAGAGACTAGTGTTTCCCTACTTGACCACATCTGGACCAACACCATATCCCCTTTAAAATCAGGCATAATTACAGATAATACCACAGACCACTACCCTACTTTTCTCATAACAACTCTTGGTAAATTACCCCAAGACACTACTAAAGTCACCTTCAGACTTCACAATGAGGCAGCCATTAATAACTTCACAACAGCAGTAGCAAACTGCCATTAATAACTTCACAACAGCAGTAGCAAACATTGACTGGCACACTGAGCTAGAAATCTATACAGATATTGACGAATGTATAATAATTTTTAAAAAGACCCAATACCTCTATAACAAGCACTGCCCTAAAAAAACTAAACAGATGACAGCTAAGAGACTGAACAGTCCCTGGTTAACACCCAGCATTCTCAAATCCATAAATACAAAACACCAATATGAAAAACAGTACAGAATGGGTCACAAAACCCAGAGACAAACAAAACGTTACTCGTCAATCCTAACCAGCCTGATAAGAAGGGGCAAAAAAATTGTATTATGAGAACAGATTATCCAACTTACGGGGGTGATATAAAAAAGACCTGGGAAAAAACCCCATCAGAAAATTCTAGGAAACAAAAAGATATCACGAAAAAAGCGAAATAAAATTAGCAAAATCAGATGAACCCCAACTCCCCCAACAGAAACAGCAAACAGACTCAATGACTTCTTCTCCACTATAGGACAAAACCTTGCCAATAAAATCCCAAGCTCAGATACCCCACCAAATGACTACCTCACTGGCAACTACCCGAACACACTGTTCCTAGCTCCGACTAACCCATACGAAGTCTCCCTTATTATCAACACGCTAAAAAACAAGGCAGGAGATTTAAATACTTACCACCCTTTATATACAAAAAAGTGTCACAAGTGCTATCACCAATCATTGCAACACTCTTTAACAAATCCATTGAATCCTCCACCTTCCCTACAGTACTCAAAATAGCAAGGGTCACCCCGATCCACAAAGGAGGAGACCAAACAGAGTTGAATAACTATAGGCCAATATCCAACTTACACCCTCTCTCAAAAATCTTCGAAAAATTAATTCATAAACGAATCTACTCCTACCTTATCTCCCAAAACATACTCAACCCCTGCCAATTTGGATTCAGGCCAAATAAAAATACTAATGATGCTATTATACACATGCTAGAACATATATACACTGCAATAGAGAAAAAAGAAGTCCCACTGGGGATCTTCATTGACTTACGTAAAGCTTTTGATACAGTTAACCATGACTTGCTCCACGTAAAATTGTCACACTATGGTATAAGAGGGCACTCCCTCAACTACCTCAAGTCATACCTCAGCAACAGAAGCCAATATGTGTATGCAAATGGGGCAAACTCTTCTGCACAACCAATTACAGTTGGTGTCCCACAGGGAAGTGTCCTTGGCCCTCTTCTCTTTCTCCTATACATAAATGACCTACCAAATGCTTCGCAATTACTCAAACCCACACTATTTGCAGATGACACTACATACGTCTTCTCCCACCCGAGCCCAGTCACGCTAGCCAATACTGTAAATACCGAATTACAGAAAATATCTACCTGGATGAGGACTAACAAACTTACACTAAACATTGACAAAACCTACTTCATTCAGTTTGGTAACAGAGCTACAGATGTCCCTCTTAACATAATGATAAACGGATCACCTATCACAAAGCTAACAGAGGGAAAATTCTTAGGAATCCACCTTGATAATAGACTCAAATTTCATACACATATACAACAAATTTCTAAGAAAATTTCCAAGACTGTAGGCATACTATCGAAGATACGGTACTATGCTCCACAGTCAGCCCTCCTGGCCCTATATCACTCTCTTATTTACCCCTATCTCACCTATGGAATTTGTGCATGGGGCTCAACAACAAGTAACCATCTCAGACCACTAATTACCCACACAAAGGCTGCAGTTAGAATGATAACAATTCTCACTACAGGCAGCACACTCCAC